ATATACGGTACTACTCTTAAAATAGCAAAACTGTTTCATGCAATACTACATCCTAAAGTTAAAATAGATTCACATTATATTTGCTGTCAAACCAACCACGTTGAATCTATTTGCTTACAAACTTAGAAACACTGTTCAAAGCTACAATGCATATTAGTTTTGATTTTATGTACGAAATAATTTTGCTTTAAAAAAGGCTTAGTATACAGATTAAATTGCCGTTAGATTCCACTTAGAAGTTGAACATCACAGCTAGAAACATTAATGTTACTACCGAGAAGTGTCCGAGTTTCTGTGAATTTTCAGAAACTTATCTATCAACTCTAAATCCTCAATGTCTGCTTACTTAGATAATATTGTTTCACCAAACACCACTCAACCGGACCGTTGAATTCAAATTTTCGTCTACAAGATGGATGCATTTCACATTTAATTGTAATGGTATGATGACGTTACACCATACCAACGTTGGAGAAATTATGTTTCATTAAATGTAACGCATTTTTACTTTTATTCAAAACAGTTTTTTTTTCTAATTAATTTAGAGGGGAAATAGACATTTCTATGGGTGAAATAGCCAGGAAAAAGCATTGTTTAACGCTGCCTTTTAGGTTAAGCGGAAAAGATCATAGTGGTTTACGGCAGGGATCTCTTTTCAAATCAATATTTTTTATTTTATTTTAAGTAATGCCAATCATAAGCAATACAAAAAGGATTATATTGTATCTATGTATAAATGTATACAGAAATCTACGTTTATCTAGGTATCCATATAAAGGTTAACATTTTAACTTCGACCGTTTACTCTATACATTTTAATTCAAATTCAAAATTGCATTCTGTAGGATAAATTGTGTTTAAAATTTGTTGTTACTTGTTATAAGTATTCAAGTACACATTGTGTGTAATATTTAATTGAAAGTGGTATTCAACGTTAAATTCAAGCAAAACGTATTTTTTGTTTTATTGTACAACTATTTTTATTGTTAATGTTCAAAGGTAACACAATAAAGCACTAATAATATTGAAAGCCACTATTACTTCAATAAGAAACTCTTCATCAGTAAGCAACAATATTATTTATATTTGATCGATATCTTAGCTAATTGAACAAGACGATTTTATGAGTAGGTAAGCTACTAAAGAATATTTCAAAAGAATACACAATTTTTATGTTAACAAGAGCCGACGGTATCCAAGGTGTAATCAATACAGAAGCTCTGATAGCGTGAGCAGGTTGTTATCAGGGCTTATCAGTTGCTCATTGATCATTCTCTGCTTCCCTTATACCTCACGCAGCTACAACTGTTCTACCAGAGATACTATCAGGTCCTGACAGTATCGAAGGTGTTATCACTACAGAAGCTCTGATAGCGTGAGCAGGTTGTTATCAGGGCTTATCAGTTGCTCATTGATCATTCTCTGCTTCCCTTATACCTCACGCAGCTACAACTGTTCTACCGAGATACTATCAGGTCCTGACAGTATCCAATGTGTAATCAATACAGAAGCTCTGATAGCGTGAGCAGGTTGTTATCAGGGCTTATCAGTTGCTCATTGATCATTCTCTGCTTCCCTTATACCTCACGCAGCTACAACTGTTCTACCGAGATACTATCAGGTCCTGACAGTATCGAAGGTGTAATCAATACAGAAGCTCTGATAGCGTGAGCAGGTTGTTATCAGGGCTTATCAGTTGCTCATTGATCATTCTCTGCTTCCCTTATACCTCACGCAGCTACAACTGTTCTACCGAGATATTATCAGGTCCTGAAACTGATAGAGTGGTTGTATTACCAAAAACAGTTTTCAATGTTCATACGTGTTTTGACATACCTTTTATTTGAAATGTTGAAGCCATCGCATTCCTAATTAATTTGGTAAATATAATAAATGATATAACATTCTCCTTCTACCAAGTCTGTCGTGCATCAATTTAATCTTCAACTGTTCAAACAATCGTTATAAGTGGTGGGCTAATCTGGAACCTTAATATTTGTCCGCAATAAAGTTTGGTTTCGGCTTAACTTCATCTCTAACTCCCTGGGGCTAGTGTTGCCAAGGCAACCGTTGGGATAATAAAACTGGCGATTTCTATTTGAATTTAGACAACTTAACTGGCGAGCGGCTAATAAGAAGCAATGTTAAATGTGAACCAATTCACAATTAGTTAAAAATGATCAGGGATATTCTTCTTACAAGTTTTACTCTGCCTGAGTAACTTTTTATAGATTCATTAAATGTAACGCCATTTTTAGTTTCATTCATATGGGGTTATCACATAGAGAAAAACCATTGTTTAGTATTTTCTTAGTTTAGTTTGTTCTTGATTGTGTACGTCTCTGTACTGAAGGTGAGTCGGTAGCTCAGTTGGTAGCGACTTCGGGCCCAAGGCAGCGATGTCGTGGGTTAAGGATCCTGGTCACTGCCGCAAACATTTTATCAGTGCTGTTCACCTTCGTACCGTTCCGGCTCGCCCCTTGCTTTGCTGGATACGTTCCACGTATAGGTCTGTGGTCTATGTGGACGGGCAAATGTAAGGTTAAAAGATGCCATCGACCTAAAAAAAATGGAAATGGAAATGTTAAAACCTTGGTCTTAATACTACCAAACGTTTAAATTTCTAGGATATGATAATTATTTAAAAGCTCACTGAAAAAGATCTCTGGGTCTAGTATCGATCTCGGAACCAGCGAATTTCATATTTGAATGTGATTGGCGGGATTTGAAGCCGGGCGTCTAGACCTGAAGTAGCATGCTCTAACCTTAGACTGGAGACCTTAGTCTATGCTCTAACCTTCCGAACCCTGAAAAGGTGTTAGACTATTCGAACTAAAAAGTGTGTGGAAGGCTTCATTATTTGTACAATAAACTCATTGAATCAAAGACATCGTGCGTACGAGTGATTTCGCACGAAAAGGGATTGAATTGTCTTCTTGTATGGATGAATCCATTCAAAAGTAATCAGTATAAGGTATAAGGTGCATTGTAAAAATCTATATATAAAAGACAAAGCCCTCACTGACTGACAAGTGAGCGCAGCGAACGAGCTCCAACCTAAAGGTGAGTGAGCGTTGCGAACAAACTTCAGCCAGGACGTAATTGAGCCATGCGAACGAGCTCCAACCTAAAGGTGAGTGAGCGTAGCGAACAAACTTCAGCCAGGACGTAATTGAGTCATGCGAACGAGCTCACCTATGAAGTTAAACGGGGCAAAGCCCGCGGGTACAGCAATAATGTATATAGTTAATCTAAAATTCACTGCTTACGACTTCTCTTTGAACTTTGGTTATAATTTACTCTGTCATCTTTTATAACCATCATTGTCGCATCTCTATACAGTTTGTCCATGGTGGGACGGAGGCTTTGAATGTTATAGCGTTACTTTTGTAAATGTTTTGCTGTTTGTTTTTTTAGTGAATTTGCAAAACCGTGAGATTTTAAAATCATATCAGGCCTAAATACAAATTGAATTAACTTATACAGTAACTCTTATTATAATCATGTCACTCAGAGTCATATTATTTTTGTGATTTATTTAGTATTTCGGAACAAAGATAAACATTCGGAGAATTTAATTGTTGGGTAAAGTCGTCGTAGTCTTCTCATGGCCAAGCCTGCGGCTCGATATGTAGTATTTTTACAAGCAATACGGCAGTAATGACAGTCCAGCACCTCCTGACCGCATCTGTAGCAGAACGTCTCCCCGCACGGACACGTCACACTGTCGCACCCTTCGGTCTTTACAATTGGTGTCTTGCAAGCTGGGCAGTGTTGAATCACAGCTTCAGTCATAGCTTCTTCTATCTTCAGTCTCGCCATTTTTTCAAGCCCTTCACTGTCAGATCTTTTTGGTGAACGTTTTCGTTTCAAACCTCGTTTTCCATTATTAGGGACCATTTTTTTACTGACCTTTTAATTTTGTTTCAAAATTTGTAGATTTTCAATTTGACTTTGCAATGATTCGTTTCTATGGTGACTTGAATAACTTGGTTGAAAGTTTCGTAAATGTATGATCAACATCTCAACATAATTTATGTTTAGAATTTTTTTTTCATTGTAGTACGAATAGCCTCCAGATTGCGAATAATAATAATAGTAGTTTAAATATCTAATTCTGCCAATTCAATTGTTGACTGATTCACATCTAGTTTCGACCTATTAATGTTATCATCAGGTGAATACAAGGCTACAACAACATAAAGATACTTCACAGGATTCCAGGATTGAAAGTTGTTTACACTAACACAGATACGAACACGAACACATATCGCGTGAATTCAATGAAGTGTAACAATCAGTATGGTGTGCTTTACGATGATGATCTTGTGATAATTAATTATTTGTAAAACATTTATAATATTAAAAACTACTGTTAACTAACACTTGTAAATCATGTTCCTGATAACATGTTAATCGTCAACCTCTTTGTTGAGGAAGTGAAGTCGTTGGTGTCTTTTATGTTGAAACCGTTAGAATTTGCATTTGACTTCTATTGATTTTCAAACCATAACATGTAAAACGTCTACAAATTTTGAGACACAGCCTGTTCAATTACGCGTGTGTAAAAATCTTTTTTATACATTGCAGAGAGTAAGAGTTTGTTCCTGCCTGCCTTTCTTTTCTCATCAACATCCATTGAATTTTACTAATTATTAATCGGACTTTTCCAATGTTTCTAGAGTTTAAAACTGCACGACATTTCTGGAGGTGGAAACGTTGGAAAAGTCTATTTAACAATAAAAACATTTCAGAACCAACATAACGAATTTGAAAAAAATCCACAGAATGTTGATCGGGTTGGTGGAATTATCATAAAATACAACTTTAAAATTTTAGCCGAAACACTGTTGTAGGTTTTCATTATGGGTAATACACCTTGCCATGTTAGTTATGTTTTCTACTTACTACATGGGTAAACGGAAATTTAAAAAAGTTCTAAATTACATGGTTTGATATAACTTGAACATGTTTAATGTTTAAAACATGATGTTTTGCAGGTATGCGGCAGAGGTGCTCAAGGATAGATCCTACCTACGGACAAGATGAGGCTCTAACACAAGGTTAGATTACTATTTCCTGGTGTAGAAATTATCCCATTATTCACATTAAGTACAACACGAAACATAATTACTTAATGGACAAAGATGACCAAGTAAATTTTAAGTCTAATTATGCCTGCTTCCTGTAAGTTCAGTTGCCAAAATACTGATATGAATGTGAAGAGATTTCTAAGATTAAGTAAAACAACGTAGAGATTATGCTTCAGCAGATGAGCCGTTGTATTAAAAATTTCTATTACAGATAACAATGTACCTACTTTTTTATTTTAATATAAGCAGTTTTTACTGAATCCTAACCCTCTAAGTGAATAATACTTGTTTTTTTGGGACCTGCTTTCAATGTATCACTATGCTAAACTAAACACACGTAAATTACTTTTTTGTAGTGTACACACCTGGGAAATATTTATCAAACTATAACATAGGCCTTTTTTATATATTGAACTTTTACTGGCTTCTTCTATGAAGAAAGCTTGTGACTCTCGTATCAAAGAAGCATGCTCTGATGTGAGTGTCACTTTAGCCTCTGAAATTCATGTGTTTAAAAAACCCCTAAATCAGACCAACCTAAAGAGCTTGTGTCAAATTTGGTACAAAAATTTAAGTCCGAAAACGTCCACAATCGGTTATTTTTTCCTAATATAAGCTTCTACAATAGATTTTACTGTCTCAGTGTCTACTGGAACAGCTGAACGGCCTTTCAGTGTCTTAAAACGGATCAAAAACTATTTAAGAAATTCAAAGCTCCATGACCGTTTATCATATTTAGCCATACTGGATATAGAAAAAGAGACCCCCAACAAAATAAAACTCGAAGAATGTGTAAACATATTTGCTAGGCGTAAACCTAGACATTTAACACTTTTCTAAAGAAGTAGGTTTAAAATGAGGCTGGAAAACAAAGCAGACTATTTTATTGAGGGCCTTACCTAGTATTATTGAGGATGAAACATATAAACTAAGATTTTTAAAAGGGGTAGGTAGAACCATAGATAAATGAAATATGGTAGGACTTACTAGTACAACATTAACATGTGATTAGTAATTATCTTTCACTATTAAGTGAAAAATATACTCAAGGACATACCACCTGTGAGGTTAGTAAAATAGAATAAAGATATAATATTTAAAGAACGCAGTATCAACAATATATTTAGATTTAAACTCCCCCCCCCTCTCAATTCTAATCGCCGCCATTGTCAGTAATAACGCATAGTTCTAAAGTTAGTGTACACGTGTACACTAGCATTCTCGCAGCCTTTAAACCCAGTTCGATAAGCTGTTATCACCAAGGGTTTAGATATCAGCTGAGATATCTCGTTGCCTAGCAACCACACCTGTTGCGTTCAGCCAATCAGCTCGCGCCCTCCCCTCCCCACCACTCCCCTCACAACCCCGGGAATAATTTAAACTTCTCCGATCAAACAACACTTCCATCCAAGACAAACTAAACTATATTCTATCAGGCTGACATTTTAATTTTAAAATATACTTGTAGTTTATAAGGACATATACCTGAGTGTTATTTTGCCTAAATTCAATTACTTCTGAATTAATGCAAGGTTAGTTTGAAAAGTTTTTAAAATAAAGATTAATAATATGAAATTGATCATTAAAAAAAATGGCTCGGTAGAAATTAGTTATGAGGATTCGGTTAAATTTCCAATTAAATCATCCAAATATTTATATTTAAAATAACTCATTATTCTATAACATTGGATTTTTTTTCAAGCAAGACACACGACATTCAATTCAGTAAATTCCTGTATGACAACATATATTTATTTTAGAAAAGAGCGGATTTTGTCTTGCCCAAAAACGTTAATTAAATCCATACATCAAATCTTCGTTCGGATAGTTCGTAATTGGAAACAAAAACAAGCACATAGTTAGAGAAGGTATTAAAAAAATGTATATAAAAAATTTTTATACTCTAAAATTGTTTTTACTAAAAATTAAATTGGATTAAGATCTAAGGTTGTGCATATTTTACAACATTAAAACCAATAATCACACTACAAAATTCTTTGTCAGAATAATATTAAATGAAACAAAAACTAAACCTTCTCTCCCTCTTTTCCAACGTTTTAATATTTTGACCTTTAGAACTTATACGTTTTTAAGGTTTTAAGAATATTCTTTAATAAATGCGATATAAACATAATGAACTAGAGCTGTATCCCGTTAAGGAATGTGGGTAGAATGTATGTTCCACTACCAAATTTATCCCTTAAAAAAATATTTTTTCTAATTATCACCAACGTTTTATAATCTACTTCCAAGCTATATTAACACGTTGGGTGCTGATGACGGGAATTCCCGCAATTGCTTAACATTGAAATAAATGCAACTTTTATGTTCAAACATGTCGACAGCACGAATAGTGTTAAAGAGAGTAAAAACAAGAACCAATTCAATAAGTTGATATGTAACTACATACTTGACCATAATGATACTAATAAAATATTTACTACTCTAATATGAAGGGCATAGTGTTTTTCATCGCTAGTTATAGTTTAGTTATTGTGTTTTAAACAATGCATCATGCTTTTATAAGACATAAGAATTAAATATTTTTTCTTCTATTGTGATTGTTACTATTACAATAACTATAACTATGTATATTGAGCAATAAAGGATTTTTAAATTCAATAAAAGTTAGTGAATGCAAATTCTATATTTAATAAGGATGGAAACACGATAAACAAAATTTTAGAGAAATTAATTTGTTTAATTTCGGGTTTAGGACGTAGGTAAAAGTATTTTCCTTACTACGAAGTCCATTTCGAGGCACGATTTTCGATACACTCCAACCCAACATAACACATTAAACAGTGTCCCTTGATCGATGATGTGTTTCCAGTCCACTTAGGTGTGATAAATCGACCAACTTTAACATTGCATATTTTTAGCCAACTCTAATATTGATTGCATACCAGGTAAAATTATCTTATTACCATTAAATGTTTGAAATAATTTGTTAGTTCTAGTAACCCTGACCGTACTCCAAAATTACATAAAGCTATTTATTCTTTTCATGTTCTCCTAAATTATTCTGTCTAAAAACCAAGGAATTATGAGTTCATAAAATTTCACCAACTTATTTCTAAGACTATCATTTTTATTAACAGTCCTGTTTATTATACATATCGTAGGACTGATAAACTAATATCATTCATCATGAGTTTTGATTCCCTCATGTTACAAACATTTCTAATACAAACAACAATTCCATTTGTACAAGTGTCAATGATCTATAGTGTGCCTAGTCCACTTAGGCTTGATAAATGGTGGTTCATTGTTGTACATTTGCCGGCTAAACCTTTCTCATATTACAAACAACAATGGACTCGTTGGATACACACGCATACTTAACAAGTGCAAACTGAGTCCCTTTATCACTATCGTATTTTGTAACACTTTGAAAAAAAATAATAAAATAAACGGTATCAGCATTCTGACACATACTTTCTCCCATAAGATTGTCAACAACCTTTCTCATGAGTAAGCGGTGAGAGTAAATATAAGGAAATGGGATTTGTACAATTTTCTTCAGAATTTAAAGGACTATAACATACTAAATTTTTATCAAAATCGTTCTAGCCAATTTTGGGAAAATCCGATTTTCCGTTATTTTATGGGGATTTTTATGGGAAAATAACATAATTTACCATAACTTTTGAACCGTAATTTTTACAGAAATGGGATTTGTATAATTTTGTTTAGAATATAAAGGACTATAACGTACTAAATTTTTATCAAAATCGTTCGGGGCATTTTTGAGAAAATCCTATTTTTCCAGTTTTTTATGGGGTTTTATGGGAAAATCCTCATTAAAAATAAAATTTTCTAAAAAATGACAAAACTATCAAAATTGTAAGGATCATAACATACTCTGTTAAATCAAAACCGGATTTTTGTCTAAAATCCTATTTTTTGTTATTTTATGGGGGTTTTATGGGAAAATAACATAATTTACAATAACTTTTGAACCGTAGTGTTTACAGAAATGGAATTTGTACCATTTTGTTCAGAATATAAAGGACTATAACATACCTAATTTTTATCAAAATCGTTCGGGCCGTTTTTGTGAAAATCCAATTTTTCCGTTATTTTATGGGGTTTTATGGGAAAATTCCCATTAAAAATTATTTTTTTTTATGATAAAACTATTACAACTTTAAGGACCATAATATACTATGTTAAATTAAAACCGGATTTTTTTCTAAAATCCTATTTTTCGTTATTTTATGGGGTTTTTATGGGGAAATAAAATAATTTGCCATAACTTTTGAACCGTAATTTTTACAGAAATGGGATTTGTACCATTCTGTTCAGAATTTAAAGGGCTACAACATACTAAATTTTTATCAAAATCGTTCGGGCCATTTTTGAGAAAATTCGATTGTTCCGTTTTTTATGGGTTTTTATAGGAAAATCCCCATTAAAAATCAAAATTTCAAAAAAATGAAAAAAACGCCTGGAGAACCATGGATTAGAGCCTACATACCAAATTTCATCGAAATCGGACTACAGGTGCAGTCCCTAGCTCTGTACACATCCAGACACACAGACACACACACACACACACCCACACAGACATCACTTCGAAAACCACTTTTTTGGGTCCAGGGGGGCCCAAAACGAATATATCCACTCAAAACTCAAACTCGAAAATTTTGACGAAAACAATACTTTCTCCATATACTATGGTATAGGGGGAGAAAGTAAAAATGCTATTAACACTACTTACTATGTAACTACGAATACTTTTGGAATAAAACACAAGCATTTCGCAAATTTCATAATTACATAAAAAAAAAAAATGTTTCACATAGTATTTTATGTGAAAAACGCTATCGTAAAGTTACCCTAGAATTGCCAGTTTTCATAATTGAGTTGGTTTTTTAATATGATTTTTTTACTAATAGAAGAAGTTTAGGGCGTATGTCGTGCAAGGAATGACTCTCTTATACCTTATTTTTGGACCACTATTAAGG